ACCCTAAACCCTAAACCCTAAACCCTAAACCCTAAACCCTAAACCCTAAACCCTAAACCCTAAACCCTAAACCCTAAACCCCTAAACCCCTAAAACCCTAAAACCCTAAAACCCTAAAACCCTTAACTCTAAACCCTAAACCCTAAAACCCTAAAACCCTAAAACCCTAAAACCCTAACACCCTAAAACCCTAAAACCCTAAAACCCTAAAACCCTAAAACCCTAAAACCCTAAAACCCTAAAACCCTAAACCCTAAACCCTAAACCCTAAAACCCTAAAACCCTAAAACCCTAAAACCCTAAAACCCTAAAACCCTAAACCCTAAACCCTAAACCCTAAAACCCTAAACCCTAAACCCTAAACCCTAAAACCCTAAACCCTAAAACCCTAAAACCCTAAACCCTAAAACCCTAAACCCTAAAACCCTAAAACCCTAAACCCTAAACCCTAAACCCTAAACCCTAAACCCTAAACCCTAAACCCTAAACCCTAAACCCTAAACCCTAAACCCTAAACCCTAAACCCTAAAACCCTAAAACCCTAAACCCTAAAACCCTAAAACCCTAAAACCCTAAACCCTAAACCCTAAAACCCTAAACCCTAAAACCTAAACCCTAAACCCTAAACCCTAAACTATTGCAAGTCTCAGGCATCATCTTGGGTTTAGCCCAGTTCAAGGCGGTCCAACATTTTCTTGAATTTGGGCCTTAGAATGATTCAAAATCTATTGTGCTGATACTTCGACTTTTCTAGATTTGAATTTGGACCAAAATAAAATTAACCTAAATTCATAAATCAAAAGGAACACTTTGAACTTAAAATACACCAGAGAACTCGTAATCTTTTTTCTAGATACAGAAAACCAACCCCATCAAAGACATCACTTCGCAGACCTAAATTCAAATCCAATTCCTGAGGAGCATAAAACTCGATATGTTACAACTCTCTTAATTTCTTTTCAAACTTGAACTTGGAAAAATTGTATCTGTAAAGTTATGAAACCATTGACATCAGTAATGATGTTAAGAATTTGAAACGTAAACAAATCAACATCGGGAAGGATATTCGCAATTCAGTACACATCAACAACATTCAGATGCTGAATAAAATAGAAATGCTGGATAAAGGATGCCGAACAAAGAAATCAAAGGATTAAGTTCATAATTTTTGGTTAGGGTTATGATCCTCCTGGTTAATAAAAAAAATGGTAGTTGGCATTTTTGCATTGATTAAACAAGCCTTGAATGCAAGTATAGTGCCTAACCGGTTCCCAATTCCAATATGCAATTATTATATTGAATTGTATACCAAGAGTTCAGGTGATGCCTTTTGGGCTGTCAAATGCACCAGCTACGTTTCAGATCAATAGAAACCAAAATGTACTGAAATGCAAAAGATGACCAAACTACACAATAAACCAAGTAACTCGAGGTACTTGGACACTCCCAATTCTTGAGCTCTCTCACACAAAGCATAAACCAAACACACTGAATCAATCCTTTCCTTCTCCATTTCCCACTCCCCCTATTTATAACCAAATACCATAACTAACTCTCTAATTATCTACTAATGTACTCCTATAATATCCTTAACTTCCTTCTAGTGGCAATCCTCTGGCAAGTCTTCATGAATGAGGTATTCCATTCCTTCCTACGAAAACTTGTGTTAGTACTTTTTATGATATCCTTATCCACAATGTTCATCTAGATTCTCAACGATTACAATTGGAAGCCCTTTTCTCAATTTTGAAGGTAAGGGAGCTTATGTAAACCTCAAGAAGTGTCGATTCCCTCAGCCAAAGGTGGAGTGCTTGAGACACCAGATTATAGCAGGGGAGTTGAAGTGGATCCAACCAAAATCCAAGGAATGCTACAGTAGCTTACATTGAAATCATCGAAGGTGTTAGGACGTACTTTGGATTGATAAGATTCTACCAACAACTTCCCACTAAATATGGAAAATTGTTCCCCTCACTTGGGGGTTGAAGAAAGATGCATTCATATGGAGGAGGCTACTTGTGCGTTGGACTATTAAAGTAAGCAATGATCTCTTTTCCTATTTTTCCCTTTCTGACTCAAGCTCAGGGGCAGCTCTTTATATAAAACTACCTATGAGTGAGAACAATGGTCATTGCATCAATAGTATAGAAATGATTACACAACATCTTGGAGCCTGCGCACCGAGAGCCTTTGCGCGTCAACATTAGGCTGGGCAAGCATCTCCAATTAGGCACTCACCTAAAAGAACCCTATCAATTTAATTCTGTCTTTTATGTTTATTTTTTAAAAAATATACTCGAAGACCCATGAAACCTAGTTATCTAAGCCCATGGAAAGCCATCCAAACATCGTTGCTTCTAATTCTCTTCCACATCTAGTTTTGCATAAAAACCACACCTAGTCTTGTGCCTCAAGCAACCATCTCAATAAAGTTATAAATAAAAACACTTATATTTATTGGGGAAGAAATTCAACCATTTGTTGACTAACATGCAATTAGCACTCTTTTTTTCTTTCTTTTTTTTTCTTTTTTTTCATAGGAGACGTGAGTGAGCACTTCAGTAGTGCATCTAGGAAATGTAAGAAAGAGCCTTCTGCCTTTTGCCTCTTCCTCCTCCACCCCTTACCACTCTGACTGATATTCTCCTTTCGGGGGTGAAAGGTATTAAGCACACTCACTTAGGATATCACTCAAGAAATTGATAAGTGTCTCATATCATCTCTCACCATATGCAATCAGTTGACTGCACCTTGAAAAAGCTATATGAGAGTCTTGATACGATGAACATAATTCAACGAAGAATTCATTCCTTGATTTTGAATCCTTCTCAATGTACATTGTGTCTAAAGTATGAAGATATGGCTCTTCTATGCTTTACGTCCTTTTTGCAAGAAAATGTGCAACTCTTTATTGCAAATCTTTGGGTTCTCTGGGTGTTTTAATCATTCTTTAATAGAAAATCGTAAAAAGGCCTTCGGTTAATTTTTTAAAAAAGTTTAACAGCATTTACGAAGGGAGATTCAAACTTCTAACTTTTGGTCAAGAGTACATGTCAATTATTATTGAGCTATACTCACTTTGATAGCCTTCCGCTAATGCTTTAAAAACTTTTTAAAGAAACATATGGTTGGAAAGGAATACAAGGTGGTTTAATGAGGTCTCTAACGATTGTTGCAAAAAAAAAAAAAAAAAAAAAAAAAAAAAAAAAAAAA